TTTTTTCTTAGATAGAAAACTTTGAATCAATCTGAATGTTTGATCTGGTTAAACTGTATCTGTAAAGTTCCTTGAAATGACATGTGTTGTGAATTGGCGCTATATAAATAAACTGAATTGAAATCTTACAATTTTTTAATGACAAAGTAATCTTTTCCGATTTAACATAAAATGAGGTTTTCCACATGTTGTTCATTGTATTTATTTATTTACGCAGCCTGCCATGGCTTTCATTATCTCCAGCTGCATCTCAGATATTTAGCTGACCTACATTATGAAGCTGCTAAAATTAGATTCTGCCCAACAAACATTCAGCTGCCTTTTGAAGTCAGGAGGAATTTGTCCGTCTCCAACTGCTGTAGGCTGAAAAGCGAACCGGCTGATGTGAATCATTGTACGTAGCAGAAGCATAAGTAGGCCAGCGGTGTGTGTGTGTGTGTGTGTGTGTGGACTACAATCGCTGCAGAGGCGCTGTAACACTGACACAGAAAGAGTGTTATTTTCAGAGCTACACACACACACACACACACACACAGCAGCAACCTGAAGTCTCACTAATGAGAGCAGATAATTACACCATCAGCCTAATCGCGGCTGCAGGAATTAGACCGGCCCAGAAGCTCATAATCTGCCTGCAATCTCGAGTTCCATACTAACCTCGCCCCAATCTGGGACCATAAATTGAAACAAAATTATGTTTTTTGCTTCGACTCATGATTTTCTCTCAGCCCTCTGAGTGAAGGACTCAGAATAACTGAAGTCATTAAGTTCTATGAGACGGCGATGTGATCCACAGCAGCTAAAGCTGGTTTATAAAGCAAATGGATCTTAGAGGGAACATCATTAAACAAATAAATATACTATTAAACGTAACATTAAATAATGAAATGTACTATTTGGTTATTCAATACATTCTTAACGAATTAAATGTAATTTTAAACTATGAAATATACATTAAATTATTAAATATCCCATTAAGTAATTAAATATAAATTTTATATTATGACATTAAATTACGAAAGTGATTTTTTAAAAGTAAACTCATTTATTTTGAGGAATTATTTCACTTTTTAATTATTTCGTCAGCAGACTAATTAAATCATTTTAACTGTCAGCTTCACCCATTAACCTCCATGGGCGGGACTAAAGCCACATCCATAGAGACCCTCACATCTGATTGGCTGCTTCTCATTGAGCATGACAGTTTTTATAGACATAATTAGAAACATAAAACCTGGAATTTCTCACCAATATGCTGCGAATAATTAACATGTTTTTAAAGGTATTTCCACCAAAGTCAACAATAATGTATAAAATATACAAATATACACATGTGCCAGGGGGTGTTACAATAAAAAAGTACACTCAGGAGTTGATATGGAGTTTTTGTGCCTTTTGGTGAGAGGAAGATTTAATAGTATGAAAATAGTGCTTAAGTTCAGTTAAATAAACATTAAAGTCTGGCTTTTTTATTTTTTTATTTTAAAT